TCTTAAAGAGAACTCCTTATCCAAATACAGATTTGGATTAGGAAACTCCTAATGAGATTAGGAGCTCTCTTTAAGGCTATAAAAGGAGGAGGGGGCGAACCATTCTAGCCATCCCAAGCATCCAGAGATCAGATCTCTAGTAGGGCTGTTCATAAGAAGGCCCAACCCAACCAAACCGACCAACCCGAATCGGTCGGGTTTTCATCAGCACCGATCGGTTTCGGGTTGGGAAAATTTATAAACCGAAATATCGGGTCGGTTTCGGTTTCCTTGTGTAAAAACCGAAACCGACCAGGACTTATTGTTCATCAACAGGAGCTATCTTATTAAATTTCTCTCAGACATGACTCAACAGTGATCATCAAAATAACGACAAAATGACTACTTGGTTTTTAACTTCTGCCATGAACTCTCTTCTACCACTGCTTGTATCTATCACAAAATCCCGTCTTTCAACTTGTCTCGGTAGCCCGTAGCGCATAGAGTCGAGCTTACTTTTGAGAAACGAAGTTTGAAATAGCTTGCTTCCTTAGCCAGTAGCAGCTTCTCACTTTCTCAGTGCTCCCAGTCCCACTCTCCAGTACTGAAACCGAGCTTTTCATGGCGACGCCAATTTCTATGGAGGTTTGGAACCCAAATGGAAAATACAGAGTCGCCAGCACCAAACCCATGCCTGGGACCCGGTGGATTCGTCTCTTGACCGATCAAGATTGTCGGGTGGAAGTAAGTAATCTACTTCCTCTTCGTGTCGGATGACTCGGATCAATAAATTTCATCAATCCATCTATTATTTTCCGATGCGACTTCTAATCTATTTATGTTATTGCTTCTATAGATATGCACCCAGAGGAAAACCATCTTGTCTGTGGATGACATTCTCGCTCTCATAGGTGACAAGTGCGACGGTGTGATCCGGCAGGTTAGTTTCCTTTTTTGTTTTCTAAGTCCTTTGTATCGACAGAAGAGGAGGGGTTTTTAAGAACTCTTTTGAGGTTTAAATTATTTGATTCTTCTGTTTATTGGTTTTGGTTTCAGTTGACAGAAGACTGGGGAGAGGTGTTATTCTCTGGACTTACCAGAGCAGGCGGGAGAGCTTTCGGTAACATGGTTGTTGGCTACAACAGCGTCGACGTTAATGCAGCCACTAAGTATGGCGTTGCCGTTGGCAACACTCCTGTAAGTTTTTCTTAATTTAATTCCTTTCTACTTTAGTCGAAACTCGGAAGGTTTATAAGATAACTGCATACTAGATTCAAAAAATTCAGTTTTAAGTCTCAGCAGAAACACGTTCACACAGATTTGTTGAACTTGCATGGCTGCTCTCTCAGATTCAATATCTAGTAGTTCGAAGAACCAAGCCTTTGTTTCTTTTTGGGAGATATGTTGATTTGTATACTTGA